CAGAAATTTGCGGCTGTCTAAAGGGACAGGATGTTGGCGCGCGCGCGGCGGGGGGCGTGCGAAATCGTGGCAGGCGCAGCACTTTGGCGATGCCGTTGCCGAAGTCGTGGCAGGCGCAGCATTCTGTGCATCTGGGTGTGTGTTTGTGTGGCAGGGGTAGCATTCGGCAGCTGTCTAGAGGGACAGGATGTTGGCGCGCGCGCGGCGGGGGGCGTGCGAAATCGTGGCAGGCGCAGCACTTTGCGATGCCGTTGCCGAAGTCGTGGCAGGTGCAGCATTCTGTGCATCTGGGTGTGTGTTTGTGTGGCAGGGGTAGCATTCGGCAGCTGTTAGAGGGACAGGATGTTGTCGCGCGCGCGGCGGGGGGCGTGCGAAATCGTGGCAGGCGCAGCACTTTGGCGATGCCGTTGCCGAAGTCGTGGCAGGCGCTGCATTCTGTGCATCTGGGTGTGGAGATGCCATTGCCGAAGTCGTGGCAGGCGCAGCATTCTGTGCATCTGGGTGTGTGTTTGTGTGGCAGGGGCAGCATTTTGTCACTCATTCGCTCGCATTCATACTCATACTCACTCACACTTCTCGGATGTCTAAAGGGTCGTCTACAAGGCTTGTGTAAGTGCAGAGCTGTGAGTACATGAGGCAGGGTGCATTGTGAGGCAAGCTGTTGGATGTTGAGATTGGGCTCGCAGAAGCTTTGTGTCCAGGGTCACGAACTTATATTTTGCAGAAGTTTTGTCAGAAGTTGGCAGAAGATTACAGAAGTGTTGTCAGAAGTTTGCAGAAGAATGTTGCGCTAGACCTGCTCTGTAATCGCATCCATACAAGGGGCGCACGGTACATGTGTGTGGACATTTGAACTCACATCCTTGGGAAAAACATAGCATGTGGGGTTATCCGGTCCTTTAATTTCTCTTCTTTTTGGTTTGAACAGTTTGACGACGCTGTTTGGTTTAGGAGTCCCACTCGGAACAGATACGCACTAAGGTCCGATGCTCGCACCCGTCCGTTTTTCATTGGAGCGGCGAAGCCGCGCAAGTTGGATCTGTGAACACGTTTGTTTTCTCGGATCTGAACAGTTCGACGACGTTGGTTGGTTTGGGGGCCCTGCGAAAACAATACAGTCGAACGCGGAGGGTTGGAGACCACAGCTTCCGGTTTGTTTCCAGCAGGGGCGTCAGGCTCGCCATACCTACCTGACGCAACGAAGCTATGGTATGGTGAGGGAAACGTGGGCTGATCACCCACGTGTACCTGCAGGGAAATGTGTATGCTTTCAGCTGTTGGTTCCTCAATCGGAGAAAGTGATGCTGTTCTTGCTGTTGCTTCCGCTCAGCTTGTCTTTGCCTCCAAAGTGCGCTTTGGCTCACCAGACTTTGCTTGTCGCATGAATATGGGTGGCTACGGGCTGATCCCATACTTCAAAAGATATGTCAGAGGCGTCTGCAAGATGACGGAAGAGATGCAGACGGAATCAGACTACTTTCCTCTGAGAAGTGCCACAAGTGTGTACCATTTCGGCAGAGACACCGCTCGCGGACCTGTCGTCACTCCAGTATCGACTGGGGGGGCCAAGTTGCATTTTCCAATCCTTGATCCGATCGAGTCGTGTAAAGGGACAGCCTTGTACAACTCCTTGATACCCACTTTTCTGAAGAAATGGTGCCATTTCAGGACCGTGATAACCCAACCGAGATGGCTAACCTTGACTTTTCAACCTTGTTTTCCGCTCCGAGTCACTGTGCGACAGCGCAGCCTTGATTCCACAACCTTGATCTCGCAACCTTGATGTCGAACCCGTGCTTCCCGCTGAACAAGATACGGGCTCAATGGTTCGATGGTGTTGTGCTACCTAAGCAACATTGGCTCAGTCGACAAGAGCCAAAGTGCTACTGGAACATATCCGGCTGATAGAGCATGGCCCCCTCACGCCTGTGCCTGGAACTGGATTTTGACTCAAGCCAGCCAAACGCTGTGATCGCATGGGTGAATCAGAGCCCTTGCCCAGTTTCGAATCTGATCATAGAAGAGACGGAGCCAACAAAAAGACAGAGAACCGCGCCATCCGGCGAAAAACCCACAACAGCGCCCCAGCTTGTGGGTCCCCCGCCGGGTGTTTGGCACGCGCCACAGCCGCAAAGTCTTTCAAACACTCCAAGAGTTACCCAAACGGGTGCTCCTTTTGGCGTTTTCCCGACTGTTCAGCATAGTCCCAGCATGGCTGAGCTGGATACTGCTACCTACATTGGTAACAATATGAACCAGCAACATGTCACCTCGTTTTCTTCTGTACATAGCACGCACACTTGTCAAGTCGAAGATGTCCGTGAAGGACTGCGGCCCTGTTTGGCTCTGTGAGACAGACCCGTCAGAATTTCGCAGCCAGAACCCAACAACGTTTTCCGTTTCCAACTGCTGAACCTTCCAGCGCTGCGCCAGAGCCGGAGCAATTCCAGTGCCATTGCCCTCTTGAGAGGGCGCGCACTGTATGCGCGCGCACGCCGCAACACCAGGAAAGGCATCTTGGACAGAGGCTGCGTTCTGCCAAGCCGCGCTCACTTTGACTGCAGCGATTTTTCTCTGCTGGCAGTTAGTCGCCAAAGACGACCCCGCGAATGCTTGAAAATTCGGCCGGATCCTGCGCAACACCTGGCAGGAAGCCGCTTTAAGAATGGCTGAGGGCACCTACTCAGCTGGAAAATGCTGGGTCATACCCAATGCTGCTCATGTTGTGCACGGAGTTTGCTGGGAAGTGGGGGCAAAGCCCGTAGAATCCTGGATGTCATGATCGCCAGAAGCATCAGCCGAGAAAAACACTAGCTTTTCAGTCACTTGTCTGAGTCTGCTCCAGTTGATCTTGGCCAGACCATTCTCGTGTTCAGGGTGTCTTTTCGCTGTGGCTCGCAGTTGCAACGCGGTCTAACACCGAGGCAAGGATGACAGGACTCATGGTCCCAACGCCGTCAGCGCGACCCGCCAAGCATGCCTCCAAAACACAAAGCCCGAGCAGTTACCCAGCCCACAAGGGGGAAATACCATTGTGACTCGCCTCCCCGCTTCTTTTTCGCCTGACACCGACCACTTCGATCGTACCGAAGTGAACGACTTTAAGTTTTTGAAGAGAGTCGCCCCTTCAAACTGGGCACCAGTTGGCAGGGCGAGACCCCACGCGCATTCCGCTTCACACGCTCTCCTGGAATGGGTGGCTGAACCCCCACATCCGAGCACTTTCCAATGGCCGTTATGTTCCCCACTTTGCACTATTCGAGAAGTGGCCCGGTTCTGATAGTTGTAGCAACTAGTGTTTGCAGGGTCGCACCGCCTGCCGCTAGCTAGGTTTGGTTGTGTGTGTGGAAGTGCCAGGCAGGACGGCTTGAAAGCAGAGCCACTGATGTTTTGAAGCAGTCGAAAGGCGCAGGCTTCCTTTTCTTTCTTTGCGCTGTTCAAATGTGCCTCTCAATTGTGGCCGGCTCGGGTGATCCCTTTGATGCACTAAGTAACAACCTTGGGTAAGCGGTTCCGAACTTCTTTTGGCCGGTTTTTTCTCGACTCGTCTGATGACCCCTGGACTGTTGGTTTTTTGGGAGCCTGACTTCAACACACACCGTGTCACAACTGCAAGGAGGTACTTTAAAGTCGCTCTTTCTTTTGGTGGAGTTGTAATCGGTGAGAAATTCTTGACTCCAGGGCTTCAAAGAGGCCGCGGAAAATGCTAACCTACTCCTACATGGAGTACATGTGCGTGAGTGTACGTCTGGTCGCAAAGACATTCGACGCAAATTGCGCCCGGAGACATGCTTGACCGGGCCGTTCCTCTTTAGTTTCTCTTCTTTTTGGTTTGAACATCCCACTCGGAACAGATACGCACTAAGGTCCGATGCTCGCACCCGTCCGTTTTTCATTGGAGCGGCGAAGCCGCGCAAGTTGGATCTCTAAACACGTTTGTTTTCTCGGATCTGAACAGTTCGACGACGTTGGTTGGTTTGGGGCCCCTGCGAAAACAATACAGTCGAACGCGGAGGGTTGGAGACCACAGCTTCCGGTTTGTTTCCAGCAGGGGCGTCAGGATCGCCATACCTACCTGACGCAACGAAGCTATGGTATGGTGAGGGAAACGTGGGCTGATCACCCACGTGTACCTGCAGGGAGATATGTATGATTTCAGCTGTTGGTTCCCCAATCGGAGAAAGTGATGCTGTTCTTGCTGTTGCTTCCGCTCAGCTTGTCTTTGCCTCCAAAGTGCGCTTTGGCTCACCAGACTTTGCTTGTCGCATGAACATGGGTGGCTACGGGCTGATCCCATACTTCAAAAGATATGTCAGAGGCCTCTGCAAGATGACGGAAGAGATGCAGACGGAATCAGACTACTTTCCTCTGGGAAGTACCACAAGTGTGTGTGTTTCTGCGCTTGTTTATGTCGGCTGCATGACAGCCTCGGAATCTTGGTGTGGTTGCGTGGTGCCTGAGCGCCTGGGTGCGCGAGATATTGCACGCGCGTGTTGGTGCGTGGGTGAATGGGTGGGTGTGAGTGGGCGCAGCATTCGCTGCAAGACTTCGAAAGGGCCGACCTCAAGCCCCCAGCGCGAACAATCTGGCAACCGACAAACAGACTTGCCCGAGTGCCGCGCCCAATGCCCACCTTGGACTTGCAAATCTTCCCAGGCCAATTGATGCCCTATCTGCCAATATCTGCCAAGCCGCATTCGCCAAGTGTGTCAACCAAATCTTCTCCGAGCACCCGTTCACCACCAGCAGCCGCGGGATGCCAGCCTGGCCAAAGCCTCTAGTCACCGTCACTCTTACAAGTCCACGAGGCGCAGGCAGCAGACCCGGCTGCGCAAGCAGCAAGAATGAGATGCATGAGCTCCATGGCCATGGCGGTGCCGCGTTGCCGGGTTTGCTTGCTTGAGACGAAAGCTGCAGGTGCACAGGCCGTTTCTCATGCTCCTCATGCTTCTCATGCTTCTCCTGCTTGGTTACGTCCGCTTCACTGGACAAACGCCCGCCTGCAAGTCCAAGCTGGTCGGTGCCCCGCCTGAGCTCACTTGCAACGCCTGGCGCCCTGGCGCCTTCAAAGTGGAAAGGTGAAAAGATGTGAAAAGCACCGAAGGCATCTGGCCAAGTCTGAACTGGACTGTGAGGTGCACAAACTCCCTGCCTACGGGCTGTCCCAGCTCCTCTTCCCCGTGCGCCCTGAGAGCGCTTTGACGTGTCTCAGTCAGTCCTTCTCAGTCCAAGGATCGTTTGCTCGTCTGGCAAAACTACAGGGGCGAGAATTGGTGGCAGTCATTCACACTCTGTGGCGTGTCAAGCTTCATGACGCCAAGTATGCCAGGCTTCTGGCCATGTGCACATGTCACCTCTCTCGCAGGCACCCGCAAGGAAGAACTTGCAAAGCGTGCGCTTCACATCCTCAGAATTCATTGCTCGAACTGTGAGAGATGGCTCGAGGGCTCACAATCAGATAAGCGCAGCGCTGGCGCTGGCCTGAGCTCACCATTTCTGTGACTCACTGATGGCACAGCAAGGCGGTAAGGGGCCAAGGCTGGCCAAAGTTTCCTGACAGGCGTGGGACAAAAACCATTGGACAGGAGCAGACGATTGGACAACCGAAGCTTCGCGTGCCTGCTGCCCCTGGTGCCAAAACCCTGCCCGCAAATCAAGTCCGATTACGACACAGTCTGCTTGCAATCAGGCCTCGGTCGGAACATCTTTGCCCACCGATTTGGCAATAATATAGGGAACCCAGTGCTCCTGTTCTGCATGCTGTGCAGCTGGTGACCTTTTCGCGAAGATTCTGCAGTTGTGGTTTCAATCTAGCGGGCCAAGAAGAACTGTAATGCCGTGAATGAATTTAGGCTGCTGCTTCCTGCTGGACTTCAGAAGCCTCATGGTCATGCACTTGATGAAACCTCGTTGTCTTACAGAATGCTTCTACTGAGCGCCACTGAAGCTGTTTGCAGCTCCATCCTTCAAGACAAGGCCCAAATTCAGTGACAAATGGCGCAAAGAACCTTCGACGCTGCAGCTCCTTTTACTTTCCATTGCCGCAAATTTGACGAGTCGAGATTCCATCCAACCCTTGAGCTCCTAGCTGTGCCCATCGCTCAGATTGGTGACTAATTTGAGTCCCCAAAGAAACTCTGCGATACTCGCTGGGAAGCAAACAGCATGTCATGATTAGACTACAACCTGCAGTCTTTCCGTCATGGGTGTCGCAGCAGAGTGCGAAACTATACTGAGGAGAAATTCAAATGTACATCAGTGACAGCACCACCTCAATTTCCAGCACAACATGTCTACCCTCAAGACTCTTGTCGCAAGCTTCCGCCCAGCCGTGTTCCTGGTACTGGGCCGCGAACCAGACCAACGGCTGATCTTGTGGCAGTTTGGGCTTCCATCGGAGTTCCCTGCTTTGCCGGGCCCTCGCGATTGCCTACCAGCGGTCCCACTGAGTTCATGTCAGGAGCATGGAAGCGTGAATGCAAGGCACAACTCAGCAGCGCATAAAGAGCACTCCTCCTCGTCCACATACCATCGCCTTGGCTCGGGCTCATGGGGGGCATGGGTCAGCCCCCAGCTCAGTCTAACTCAGTTATCCAAGGTGCTGCACCCACCACACAGCACAGCCGTCTTGGGACAACTGGACCACTGTGTAGTGCGCCGAGCGCAGCGTCACGTGGCAGTGATCATTCTGCACCTCGAGCACCATCGGAGTTCTCCGAAAATATTAGCCAGCATTTCCTGCATTGCCCGATGGCGAACCTCGCTTTTGGCTTAATCCCCTGAAGCTGTCCTGACAAATAAGGTGGGCATTCCACTGCTGGCAGGCAGGTCTAGCAAAGTCAAGGGATATGACAACTATCCCATTGTATGCGTGCACAGCGGCCAAACTAGGCTAATCAAACTGCCTGTCAAACTAGGCTGCGCATGCCGATATGGTGCCAACTTGGCAAAGGGGCTCCCGATCATGTCATGACAGCAAGTTAAAGTCAATCGCCTAGATGCCTCAACGCAAAAAGCGAAGGTCATCGCTTCAATCTCTGTACAGCCATATTCATGTCCGAGGCGCTACATAGGCGCTGCCAAAGTTATCACACCATGCTCCTTGAAGCCCTGAAAGAATCAGGGACAGCGCTGGCCTCAAGGCGAACGACTTGAACAAGACAAAACGTGGAACGCTGAGACGGTGCCACGGGGCTGCACAAGCGCTGGGGTCACGGCGGCATTGCCCAGGCGTCAGTCCACGCCGGGGGCGCTCTGGCCTTTCCGTTGCTTGCAAGGCCCAAAAGAGCGTGCGCCTGCCCGCGCTCGTGCGCTTGGGGGGTGGGCCTGCGCGTGTGCGTCTGCGTAAACGTACGCGTGCGCGTGTGCGTGCACGTGCGCGTGCGCATACACGTGCGCTTCGCGTGCGCGTGCACCTGCCCGCGCGCGTGCACGTGGGGGTGGGCCTGAGTGCGCGTGTGCGTTTCCGTGAACGTGCGCATGCGCGGGAGCGTGCACGTG